CCCCTAGTTCTCACATTATTCTATAGAAAAATTGAGAACATTAGCAAAACTGATTCTTTTTTTTTCGACAAGAGGAACACAAAGTGAATTACAGCAAACAAAAACACATATGTAGTTTTAAGTTCCTAGAAATCGGTATCCATATAGAGTAATGAGTTCTTTGGAACGAGGACTCTACAGAGGGTTCCCAGGAACCCGAGAACTCCATGAGGTTTGGGTTCCTGGGTTCCTCGGAAGGGAACGCGAAACTGACACCACTATATGTGGGTTCCGTATTTCGGCTCTAAAGGACCGCGCTAACAAGTTCTTTTACTGGCACTACACTTTTTATTTGTCTTCTTGCTATTCTCTTGTTGTTAATTTCATTGTTTTTATTTCGTTTTTCTGAATTTCCTATTACAACAATTGATTTAACTAACAAATAAGTCTATCACGTTTATGATACGGAGAGATATTGCAAACATGTCTACTACGTTTGTGATGTATTGTTGCTAGAAGAATACACTCAATGATCTTTGATCCTAGCCACTAGAGTCTGTAATAAAGTAGGTGGAGCCGGAAAATCGTGTCTTAAAACTTACGTTCTCTATTTTTTTTTCGTAAATAAGTGGTTCCACAAAAGGATGCGAATAGGGAGAGACGGCCATTCACTATGTCTTACCCCTCTAGCTTTCCAGAAAACTCAATTTCTTAGCGAATTTCAGGAGAGCTAGAGACTTTGCCTTATTCTATAACAGTTTATCATGCATGTTCAATTGTAAATTCTCGATATACAGCCGTTTGAGCCATTTCGAAGCTATGATTTCTTCATCGTTCTCATTAAACTTGTACTTCGTTGAACGCATGATTTTCGTCGGTGATAACACTAACATTTGATTCCATAAAATGTTGTATTTTGATCTTTTGTTTGAAAACGATTTGAATGATCACAATCATGTGTCTAGACAAAATATTTACTCATTTGTGATCTACTTGAACGCATTTCATGTAACTTAAAATTGATATATTAGGATCAAAATCTTATGCTCTTTTCGAATATGGACTCAACAATTCTGTACCTTGTTTTATTCGAGAATATTACCTTAGGCAAAATATTTTGTTCATGAAGTTTGGTATTTTGGGAACTAGTAACCGAAACTAAAAATTGGTGTCCACGTGAATATAACAATATCATATTTTGCAAAAAAGTTCTCTCTACAAAATTGCCTTATCTGACAGCTAAAAACATTTTCACAACGAGAACTATAGACGTCGGAAGAAAATGTGTTTGTTCGCCACCCGACCCAACTGGACACTTTCGGCCTATCTGTTATTGTTTCGATTATCGCGACTTAAGAAACCGCTGAATTTGATGATGTTCGTAGTTTGTACTTTATATGTGTGATATTCCAGTATACTAATTCGTAAAATGAAACAGGTTCAAATAATGCGCTTCATTTCTAAAAGACTCCATGGAAACCACAGTGTACGTCCTTGTAAAAGTTTTCCTGGTAAGATTTGGTTTTCATCTTTTTTGTTTGCTTCTATAAAAAAATTGCAAAACGAACGCATTGAAATGATTTTTCCACTGTTCAACTGTATCTGTGTGATAAGCGAGATGCAAGAGAGAAAATAGAGAACATTGAGTTATTTTCAATCTTTTAATTTTAGTGGACAAAAATATATAATGATAAAGTTCTACAGGAAAAACATAAAAATTTTCTTATCCTTTACCTGTAGTCCAACTTGTATCCTTTGAAAACTGATCTCCAGATAATAAACGTCGGTAAATTTCTTGGCTAAATTTTCTAAAATTGAATCGTAAAGACGACCTATATATGAGCGATTGTCCTATTCGGCCGATGAACAAATGTTTGAAAATAAAACACCTCCAAGTGTTAACAGAGTAAACTCATAGTATTATAATTTTTGATCGCTCTTTTTTCTATTATTGCTCTTGCCATTATAGGTTCTTCCTGCTGATGTGATCAACTCCGAAGAAGCCGAAAAAGATCAAATAAGAACAATATATACAAGAATTAAGCAGGTAGAAGCGAGTGAAATAACATATTTTCTTCACTTTTATGATCATAATGAAATCGAATTAGATTGCATGCGATAAAACTTACGACTGGACAAATATTGATCACGATGTTTTCAAAGACCAATTCAAGAAGCAGAAAAGAAGAATCGTTGAAAAATTAGATGATGATGATAACTATGCAGCAATTCATCATGCTGTCCTTTGCAATAACCTTATCGCTTGTCAAAAACTCATTGAAGACTATAAATGCAGTAAAAATCTAGTCATATTTTATTTCTATCACTGGTGTTTTCTTTCAGATATTAATTTGATTGGTTGGGGTGGGGTGTCAGCACTTCATCTTGCTGCTCGTTCGAAAGAAATCGAAGATGATACTAGATCAATAGATGAAAACAAGCCAGACAAAGAAGTGAGCGATGATCGATTTTGAGCATAAACACTCATTCTTTTTATGTAGAAACGCTCGATCATGTTCTATCTGCTAAATATGAAAGGTATCAACATTAACATTGAAGACAACGAGAATCGGACACCACTACATCATGCCATCATGCGAGGCTGCATCGCAAATGCCAGAGCATTAATCAAGAAAAAAGCAAAACTCGAGGTAAGCAGAAATTTATTGACAAAAACAATGAACTACATCAGATAAGGTCATCTGATTTAGTTCACGTACGGAATGACCAACTGACTGTTTTCTCTATGCACTTTCACTGATTCCTGTTTCAAGTACTGTTTTTTATAAAAGTTCGGGATACCTTAGGCCGGCATGTGGCTAGTATCCCACACTACCTCACATTGCGATATAGTGTTTTCCGCTATTTACTATTATTTTCGAGCATATAATATTGTAGTCCGATACAGTATGGTTGTTTACTAAATGCCGGAGAATAATCTTTAAGCCTTTGTGCCATTCTTTGGATAAGTATTAGAATGATTTTTCAGCATCGATCTGTCTTAATCGTAGAGTACTTTTAGCAGGGGGAGGGGAACTATTCGAACATTTCGAACCATTTGCATCCACTCTGAGTCATTCGGATATGTCCAGTGTTTGTCTGATACTGAGTCAAAGGTTATTGGTCAAGGATGAAACGTCAACCTCAAGGGTATCTACTTAGATATTTCAATCCACTTTGAACCATTTCCAGCCATTTGAATGGCTCAGAATGAGTTTTTCCCCTTGACTTTTAGCATACTGTCAGGGCCGAAAGTGTTGAAAGGCCTTTCTTTCTTCAAAACTAATAGCAGATGCACGTCCCAACAGTGACATCTGCATGTAGTTTAGTTGAAATGGATAAATGCAAAAGATTTTGATATACTATATACATATTATCGTTAATCTAGATTTTTCAAGATGTATCTGTCGTTGTAAATTACTATTACAGCAAAAATAATAGAGGGTCCTTCAAACAAGAAGTTTATGATCTAAAAATCAACTTCAGAGAGTTGGTTGTCATAAGAAATATTACATGCAATTGAAAATTGAATTGAGAAGCTTTTGATATCTGAATTGTAGTTTGAAAACCATTTCGGTGACACAACAATCAAGTACATCAATGACGATGCAATCTACCAAGAAAAATGCTACTCATATAGGACCTAACAGCTTATCAGTAATCCAAAATGCTGAAGATTTCGATTTAGAAGTTTTTGACATTGCTTATTCAGATGCGCTAGTCAGATCAAAAACGAAAAAATTGACAAGAGCCTCCACTAGTCAACCCACTCATGGATGCTCTCTTTAGGGTATACTTTTTTTGACCATTTCTTGTTTTCCACGTGAGCATAACCGATTTTTATCAAAGTTTTACAATCGACAGAGAATCTAAATTAAAGAGATATACAGGGTCATAGCCAAGGAGAACGAGGAGGCTCGGGCGCCCTTGGAACAAAAATTTCCTGCGGGGGTGTATGGCGAGTCAAATTTTGCGCCAGCCAAAACTAATTTTTCGCCATAGTGGACCTCCCTCATGAAGTCAGCCTCGCCTTAGAAAATTTCTGGATACTGACTTGGAGATACGTGTTTGAGGAAAAAAATTTTGAACAAGGTTTTCGTGGCTTTTTAGGAAAAGCCATGGTTTTCCATAGGACCACATTGGGCTCGCTTACCACTCTCCTCTAACTTTGTTCAATTCTGCTGAAAATATTTTGGTAGATACTTTAGACAATATATCGGAGATGGTTTTTAAGATTTTTCAAAAGTTTCTGGCTTTTTTACAAGAGAAATACGTAAAGGGTTCGAATCTCGAACCAGAATACTGGCGTTCACAACTTTTAAATTCCAATAAGAAGATAAAAAGCGACAACAGTTAATTTCACCTATAGAGGATACTTATAAGTATCTGTGGTCAAAGTTTTAGGCCAATTGAACAAAATTGGAGAGGAATTGCAAACAGGTTCCATTGAGAAGACTCTTATTTTGCCTTAAGCTAAATAAAACAAAACAATTTCGCTGAAGTTCCTATGAAAAAGATAAATTTTTTTAAGTTCCGTAATTCTGTAATAGTAAGCTATTTAGAATCGAATTACGTCTCAAATTGCTCATAACACATGGGGTTATCGTACCTTATGTCCAGCTCAATGCTGGCTTTTTGGTGAAAACAGAGAAGTTACTCTTACATACGTGAAAATAAAAGTACTAACTAATAAAGACCGTATCAAAAAAAATTAAATAAATGGGCTTTAGAAAGTAGTAGAGGTGTGACAGCTCGTAAATTGGTGAGCTGGTGTATGACGATTCACGAGCTAGGGACAGCTCATGAGCTGTCA